CTTGAATAACTACACTGCTGTTTGTGTGCTCTGATATTATGGGATGTGACGGAGCTGAACGGAAACGGCCCAGTCGTGACCATAATTGGACATGAGCGGGTCTGCTGTCATCCTACCCTCGCGCACAAACACACACACACACACACACACACACGGTTGGTCGACGTCCCCCTGCTCAGATGTTCCGACGTCACACAGTCAGCACTTCATCATCGTTCCGACACCTCTCGGTCCCCGCCGCCTCTCTGCTGCTGCTGCTCCTCTCCGGTAAGTGTCTGTCTCGTTCACCGGGTTTCACGGAGCAGATCCGCATACGAACGGGAACATGGAGCCCCGGTGTTAACCGACGAGCACAACAACCGACTCAGACGAACGTGCGACAACGAGTCAGGTCCTGATCATTTGAGACTCTTGTGTTTGCAGCTCGGTCAAACATGGCGGCGGCAGCGAGCCGCCACTCATAACTCCATGTTGGTGACCGACACTTCGGCCACACCGGGGCTCAGGAGGAGGCGACGCGACGGAACCACGTTCACGTACACAGTCAGAACACGGGCTGCACTCTATGACGCAATCGGTGTGTCTTATGACGTCAGAAAAGCAGTGCTCTGACGGTGGAGCCATCTGTGGGATTTATTACACATTTCAAACATGAGAGTTACGACATGGATTGTTTCTGAGGTGATGTTCACGTCCTCAAATGGATTTCACAGTGTTTCTATGTGAATTCAAAGAATATATCAAGACTTATAGAACTTATAGAAAGCAACAACACTGTATCTTCATGTCTGTTTATTCTGCTGTCTCTTAAACTGCTTATTTTCTGTGTAGAGCACATGTCCACAAGGTTTTCATATTCACAAGTTTGTCAATGAAGTTTCTGATCGTGGATCTAAGAATAGATGAGCTTCTGGCAGCAGGGGCTTCATTTCACCACCGAGGTGAGGGCATTGTGTTACTGAGCTGCTGCTGGAATTAGCCCATGGCCACGGTGGCTGGGACCATAGAAGCTCAGAGCACAAAGACAAGTGGAAAAAAAAACCATGCAGGCCAATAACACGATGCAACAACAATGAAACAAACACAACAAATCATAAAACACAGAGGCAAACAACGGCATGCAAATCTTGCAACACGATGACGGTGAATAATTAAACGCAACAAGTACCAAACACGACAGCACATCAGACAACACAGCTACAGCGAACAAAGCACAATGGAAAATGACAAAATGCACAAACACAACAATGAGACACAATGCACAGCAGCAAACAGGAAAACAACACATTACATAATACAAGTGCAAATAACAAAACACAAGATGTTGGTGTGTTTTCCTACCATTGAGGGTTTTTTTGAAAATAAGTTTTCACCCCATTTGTCGTTATACTTTTCACGCCACGGCCACTGTGTCATACAAGTATGTATACAGAGTCTTTTTAAGTCCTGCCCTTGCAAAGGAACTTCATGGAAGTGGCACAGTTCTTTGGCTCGGTCGATTTTATTTACGCATATCCTCTAAACAGCGTCCTTACATTTGTTGTTATAGTGTTTTCTGGCTTGTTACAGTGTGGAGTCCTAACTCCAAGTAAAGCCAGACAGGAGAGAGTGTGGAGCACAGTTTTCCTGCAGGTGAATCTTGCCCCACTGCTGGAAACATTACCATATAAGGCCACCTTCGTCCAGCCTTTTATCAGAGCTCGTCTCAGAGGGAAATTTTCCTCTTTGGATTTTTTTTTTTTTCCCCCTGTGTGAATATTTCCTCTGGCGACTTGCACCGTGCTGATCCGGAGACAGAAAATATAATCCAACCACCGCTGGGCTGAGGGGATGTTTAATGGGGTAATGAAATATAATTTAAAAAGGGCAGCTCTGTCTCTGTCTGTCTCTCTGTCTCTCTTCAGTATGACTGGGTCTCATGGCCGTCCTCCTCAGACGTGGGCTCTCGGTGGCCTTGCATCGCGCTGTCTGCGTCTCAGTGTGCCGCCCTGCGCTGCGTTCTGCTGCTCTAGGTAGAGTAACTTGTTAGCTTTAATATGTTCAGCTGTGACAGGGCGATGCAGGCCTGTTGAAGGAACACCACCTCACCCAACAATGTCACATCACACGTTCACTACAAGCTCCACACTGTCTCTGCAGGCTTTGTCTGGAGCTACATAATAGGGCTGTCGTTGACAAAGCTTTTTTCAATGCTATTGGATTTGGATGATGTGGAGGAATAATAGACGGGGCTCACAGGGACATTGGGGGAGCTAATGTGCTGATGATGGATACATACACAGACTGGATGTTCCGCTCTGATCCAGCAGAGGGCGATCACTGTCAGCCTGACCGATTGCCTGCCCTCTTGAGCAATTAGTAAAATAATCAGTAAGTCAGTAATGTTAAAACTGCAAAAATGATTCGGACGTTCCAAAATTCTGCCTTTTCCAATAAAGACATGAGGGATATTCTGATATTGTCACCACTGACAGGAGCGTTCTGTTTTCTTCTCGATTTGTTTCTCCGTCAGTCAGCAGGTTTACGCACAGAACTACTGAACACATTAACCAAGAAACTCAATGGAAGGATGTGGTTTGGGTCCCAAAAGAACCCACTGAATTTAGCTGCGGATCTGGTTCAGGCATTTTGTTTTCCCACTTTGCTTTGACCTTTTCCTTGATTTCTCAGAGAATAAATCCTGGATTTTCATGAAAGTGCATCCGTGTTTAGGAGACTGATATAAATCAGTGTGTGCAATTTGATGCAGATCCGCAATAGAATCTGGATCTAGTAGAGTACAGCATATTCGACATGTGTGTCTCAGTTGTTTTTTTGGAAGTTTGTGATTCACAGCCTCTTGTCTGTTTACGGTCAGCTCTGTGCATTGTACGCTAACTGAACGGACAGCAGGATGTAGAGCTGGGGTAGAGCTGCTGGGGTAGAGCTGCATGGCCAAAAGAAAAAGGCCGCATTTCTAAATGGAAGGAGAAACACATCTGGTTTTTAAACATCATGAAAGACTTTGAGATCACGAGGTTTTCCTCCGAAGGGCAATAAAGTGAAAAAGAATGCAGCTGTAGGATACACACCATTGGGGCATTTTACGTTAATCTGAGCATGGCTGCAAGTACACATTATTACTTTTCTTTTAGCCATGTAAAGAGCTTAAAAGGAGTATTTTCAACATGTTAAATATGAAACACTGGATGTCTTGTGGTACAAATATAACTGTGGGGTAACGATGTGTGTCATAAATCTGTGATGGTATAATTGGTTGGTTGTGTTTTTGAAATGAAATTAACATTTTCATCATAGGGACTTTCATTTTGGACGTCACTGTCCGAAAGTACAGTCGCCCGTGCAGGAGGAGGCATTAATGTGTTTTTTCTGGGTGTGTGTGTGTGTGTGTGTGTGTGTGTCTCAGTGTTCCACATGGCTGTCAACCAGTCTCCGTCAGACTCTGTGTGACCAGTGGGACTCTCCAAACAGATGCCGATGACCAGCGCTCTCATTCCACATCTTGTCTCTAATCCTGTGTTGTCGTGTGTTATTTCTCCCTCTTGTCTGCTCCCCCTCCATCCAGCCCAGTCCTCGGTGTAGCCCTGCTGAGGGGCATTTGTATCTAGTGGTGGGTGGCGTGCCTCTGTCCAGCAGCCATGTCGGGCTTCAATCTGCTGCATCTAATAACCAAGAGTCAGCCTGTAACTCTGAGGTCCTGCAGTCTTCCCTCAGGTCCACTGACTGGGTGCTGTGTGCCTGCTGTGCTCTGCCTCTCTAAAGCCTTAACACCTGGCTGGTGTGTCCGCATGTCTTTACTGTCCCTGTCTGTGTGCGTTCACGTTGACCTGAGCTGCTTTCAGCTATTTTCTTACATTTGATTTGGATCAGCTCTTTTTGTTTGCACTGAACGATGTTTCAGAGCTCCAAACTGGACCTAACCTGAACAGGGCTGCTTACTGGACCTCAGTACCTTTTTTTAAAATAGATTTGTATTTGCAGCAGTGAGTATCAACAACTTCCAGGTACTGCAGTGAATAACTCTGAGTACTAAGTGAGTTTCTTAATCTCGTTCACGCTTTCTTTAATCAGTTTTTACCTCGTTTCAAAGTATAATTTTGCCAGGTTTATTTAACACCGATGAATTTTGTTCTAGAAGCTGCTTCTCCATCTCCAAATAGAAAAAAGTGCGTCTTACACCTCTGCATGAAAATGTGACATGGCTTTACTTTAAGTATCGGCAGGTCTGTGCTGCCCTCTGCTGGACTACTGTGAAAATCAGAACACCAATTTAAAGTGATTTGGTTTTAATGTAGCCTGAAAAATTCATGTTGGAATAAAACGGTTCAGTCAGTTATTAAAGGCAGGGATCTAAATGACTTTCATTCAATTATGATTATCATTCTTTGTTGTGTTTTTATTTGAGGATTTTAAAATATTTAATACTTTTAATATTTAGACAATTTCAAAAGTTTCTTTTTAGAGCTTAGCACAAATCACTCACAGCAGTTTTCCCTCAGGTGTTATAGAATTGTCTAAGAGGCACACACCACCTCTTGTCATATCAGGACCTTAATAATTTGATTTAGCAACAATGTCCTCAACATGTCCAACAGGGCAATATTATTAAGGTTATTAAACTAAAAGTAAATCTGCCTCTTGGATGAATATTCAAAGCTGACTTCTGTGTGTGGCTGCAAGAGAAAACAACACACTGCAGAGGTTACTGATAATAAACTGACGTTTAGGTAGAGTCAAGCTAAACATCCATCCCAAACCCAACGTGCTGTTTTTACATTTATCACATTACTCACTGTTGACTTGCTGTCTCAGAAACAAACAGTAATGCCATTAATGGTTGAAACATCTGCGCTGAACCTTTATCAAAATGGTCCATGTATCAGCTCTTCTCACTTGTGGCCTTCACACAGCTGAAATTTCAAATGCTAACACAATAATCCAATGATTCACTGCTTGGCTTTGGTGTGTGGTTCTGTTCACTAAATGTACACTGAAAGGTTTTGTCACAGGTTATTTTTGTGTTTTGGATCAAAGCAAGCAGTTTTTGGCCGGCCTGCTTTGTGTATATCTCGTGTCTCACGTCAGGAGAGAGGAAGACGTAACGTTTTTGTTTGACACCGACATAAGGAATAGTGTTGTGACGTGCACCTCTTCTTTGTCTGTCCTCAGCAGACTTGGATAGTAAATTTTCTTTTTGTCGTCCCTGCCTCCCCCCCCCCCCCCCCCCCCCTCAGGAGCATGTAGGACCAAGAAGACATGGCCGGTGAGATTCCCTCAGGAGGAGTTGAGGGAACGTCTCACTCCCAAGCAGTTCCATGTGACTCAGGAAAGAGGAACTGAGAGGTGAGGTGAACCGCTGCCTGAACTCTTAACTGCCGTGCCTCCAGTTGTACTCAAAATTTAAATATATCCTTATAATTACATGATAATTTCAGTTTTGTGTATATACACACACGTGTTAGTGTATATATATTTCATCTTGGACACATTCATGAGTCCATCATGTTTCAGTTTGAATGATGGAGCTTTCTGTCCACAGTGCGTTCACTGGTGAATTCACACATCACAAAGACGAGGGCACCTACACTTGTGTTGTCTGTGGGACTCAGCTGTTCAGGTAAGTGCTGCATTGTCTCCCTCCAGTGACAGTATGAGTTTACTGACATGATCGTCTCTATAGGAACATCTCACCATCTAGTGAATCAGACAGGGGGAATCCTGGTGACATTACTTTATCTTGAATTTAAAAATCACCATTTCCCTTAGTCTTTCACTACAATGTGAAATCATGCCTCTTATATTTTTTTCAAATGGCGCACTTTTATTTTTAAGGCCTGGAATTAACCAGATTTTTGTTTCCTTTATAGCTCAAAGACTAAATTTGACTCTGGATCAGGTAAGTCGAGTCACTGTTGCCCCTATCGTCCATTCTCACCCCTGCTCTTCTGTCAGCTTGAAAAAGCCAGAATGTTTCTTGTATCAGGAAAACACAAAGACAAACTGAAGATAAGACGTCATGCTCTATTTGAGTCCACAGATAATTTATCACATTAATCATACAAGTTGGGAAATTAGTTTTCTATCTTGTGTAAAAACAAAACATGTGTTGACGAACACTGAATTGCTTCGTGTGAAGAACTGATCGCCAGAAGATGCTTCAGTTTAAAGCCCAACAGACGAGTCAGAGCTTTAGTGCAGCAGCTGCTGTCTGGTGGATACGACAGGTTCAAGTCTCCATCACTTTACTTGATTGGTCTACAACCGACACTCAGCCTGGAGCTGGTCAGTGTGAACAGATGTCTGCCGTGTGTCACCCTGGGTCAGCAGGCCTCAGTGACATCATTAGCAGGGCTTTTCACCATCATGTGTTTTGAATGCTTCAACCTTATTAAGCAGAATAACATGCATGCTACCAAAGTAAAGGCTATAGCCATTGACTCGACAGTGAGTGGTGGACCAGGTACATGTAATAGTCAGTCAGCAGCAGCAGGAGTAGGAGGAGGAGGAGGAGGTGGTGCCGCTTTATCCGGACACAGATTTGTCTCATTTAGCTCTAACAGTCTCTGTCTGACTCCTCCGTGCAGTGGTAAGTTTGGGTTCCAGCCCTGGAGCCACGCAGTAAGACATCACCATCAACTTAAAGAGTGGAGTCATACCTGAGGAGTTTAATCTGACCCACTCATCAAACTGTAAACAGTTTGAGGTGCACATATTTAAAACCAGGGACAGTTAACTGGATGAAGTTTAAATGCATGTCATTGAATTTATATATTGCCTCCAGTCCATGTTCCTGGATGTAAAATCAAACAGTTTGCTTTGTGCTGCCTGATGACCCCCCCTCATGTCACGACACCTGTGTACTGAAACACGTCCTACATTCTGCAATCTGTTCAGGTTGGCCATCCTTCTTTGACCTGGTGAAGGAGGAGTCTGTGACACTGACAGATGATTTCTCCTACGGGATGCACAGAGTGGAGGCCACCTGCAACCAGGTACAGTACAAACACTGCTGGTTACTCCTCTGCCACAAAGTCGTGAATATAATCCCATGCAGCAGCTCGCCTGATCAACAGACACACAAACAAATGTAGATGAAGACATAACCTCCATGGCAGGAAATAATGAATTCATGAAAATCATATCAGATGATCACACAGTCTGCCTAATCATGGTATTAGCAGGGTTTATATGATGTGTGCTATTGTACACCACCCTCACCCATCGGATGGGTCACTTTCTCCTCTGTGAAATTCTCTTTGCACTAATTGCGAATCATCTGCGTCATCTGAGTTACTCTCTGTCCGGTGACTAGCCTTTAGGTTAAGGTGCACGTTTTGCAGGAGAGTTCTTTCTGGACAGGTCGCCAGTCTGTAGCAGGGGGAAGGTCATGTTCAGACCAACGGGAGGCCTGCATGCAGAAACCCACTGATTCCACTGAGGCCACTGTGTCAACAGAGCGGTGGTGTGTTCAGGCAAAAAAAAACAAAGGCTAAACCGGCAATAAGCTGTAATGGATCCAACTTTGACACAATGTCGTCCAGCAACACAATGTTTTGGCAAATTAAACACATGCAAGTGCACATTCCTGTAAGAACACAAACACAAAGCCCGGGTGACTCGCGATGAAACAGTTCATGAGCTTTATTTAATTTATGGTTTGTTTCTTGGTGGTGGCGGCAGCGCTCAGGTCTGTACGACATAACAACATGTGTTCCAAAACAACTTCTGAATGAGTCATTTTAAATAACAAACTGAAAACAACTTTCTAAAAAGGAAAGCGACACTGACAAACAGCAGTAACAATTAAACTCAACGCCACAAATGAACAGAAACTAATCAACACCAGCAGAGATCATCACATTACACACACACACACAGCATTCACTCGTTCCACTGGGGCTGAGCGTCTGCGTCTCTCTGCCTCTTAACCACCGTGGCCTTGATTGGTGATAGGGCCCAGCCTTGCACAATCACACTGCAGGTACCGGGAAAAAGGGAGGCACCCGAACGGACACTGAGGAGAGAGAGAGAGAGAGTGAGAGAATAGAGAGAAAACACAACACAGCACCACCAGACAATTGTTGTGACAGTGGCACGTGATCATGTGACACGCTTACTAGTTACTGCTAAGCTGTTAGTGCCACCTGTATCTAAATAAACTTGAATGTTGAATGTCCAAATGTGTATTCTGATCGGCCCCTGTAGTGCTCCTGTCCTGTCAGTAGTCTAACCAACAAAACATATGGCAATGTGTTAAGAAATGTTTGAATTGTTTTAGTGTAACATGTATATTCAATGATGGAAACGGTGAATGATTCTGTATGAATATAAATGTCACCTTTGTTTAAATTGCGGTCCTCTTACGGCCCCCGATTATGAAAAGTCCCCCGCCACTGGAGATTAAACAGTAAATAAAGACAGGCAGAACATTGCTCTATAGCCGAGAATGTAACAGAGGGATTTCAAAGTTCGCTGATGAAAATGTTCATATCAGTCGATGTTTATAATTATTACAATAAATGTCACATTATCATTTCTTTCAAGTTTAAAGACTTTAAAGATCTTTGCCCCTAAATGAAGGTTTTGGTTTTGAACTCGTCTTTATGATCAGAGAATGACAAACACTTCATTAACAGCAAGACACCTTACAAATCTGAGATATTCTTGCAGATGGCATTTTACAAAAAATGTAAATGCTGATAATGTAGGACATGTCGTCCTTGTTACTGAAGTGTCAAAAAGTTACCGTCAATCTTTCCACTGTTGTGTTTCAGTGCGGAGCTCATCTGGGACACCTGTTTGATGATGGACCAAAACCCACAGGGAAGCGCTACTGCATTAACTCCGCCTCGCTGGCCTTCCAGCCCGAAGACACGGCCTCCTCCAGCTCCAGCCCCGCGGCCGAGGGCGGAGCTGCCGGCAGCTCAGCGAGCGACGGGAAGACGGAGCTCTGAACGACCCCCTCGGCCTGCCGACTGTCCGCGTGCGAGTCCGAACGTTCTCTTAACATAGAAATACTTCACAAAGTACAGACGCAGTGAGGTGATTGTGTTGCAGAGAGAAGAAAAGTCCTCTAGTTTAAGACACAGGCCAAATACTCCAAATAATCTGTCACAAGGGAAAGTGCATGTTTCCTAAACAACTGCAACACACACACACACACTCTGCATTAATTGTTTGCCTTAAAAGAATCAGTTGGTATTTGTCAACCTGGGTGTTGCACACGTTTCTCTGTTGTCATGAGGGGAGCAGGAGGAGGTTGTGTTTCTGCCGCAGAACCTTCAGCCATAGTTCAGGGACGACTTCCTGTGTTTCCGTTGAGCTTCTGCTTCTTACACCATGTCACAGTGTCCTCGCTGAATTATGGACCCCCCCCCCAACAACATCTACGTCGACAAATACTTAAACTCCTCCCTTTAATTATCCAGCTCTGGGTTTTAGCATCTGCTCTGCCAGTTTATATCTGGATGAAGTGCTGTGTTCTAGACAAACACACATGTATATACACAGTAAATATAGATTACTATATTAAAGTGTTTGATACTCAGTTCAGTTAATTACATCACCTATGCAAGTGCTCGTGTCAGCAGTGACAGAAGGAATCTTTTTGTGGAAAATAATGTAGCGTGGCCTCCGGGTCACTTCCTGTATTTGTTCCTTCTTTATTCCTTTGCTTTAGGAAATATTTTCAGCTTGTATTAAAACAGTTATTGGATGAATAAAATATCTTGAAACACCATGTGGCTTTCTTCTATTTTTCAATACATGTGTTCATGAAACAACCGCAGCTTAATCTCTACTTACTAGTTTTTTTTTGGAGCTTTACTCTAATGGTCTTCTTGAGTGAATAGATTGAGCTAAGTGAGGTCATGTTTACTCATTACTGTAATGAGAGAACTTTTATCTAAACTAGGTTTTCCTATCTACATAAGATGTTTAGGGCCATTGGAAAGAAATTTGCATTCTCAGTTTAATCCCAGACTTCTGTCTTTTTTTTTTTTTTCGCATTTCCCCCACCCTCTTCTGAATATATCTAATTATAAGGTGTTTAAATATTTATTTTCTTGTATGTATCATATGGCATGTAACGTGTGGGAGAAAAAAAAAACATTTTAAACCAAATCTTTGGCTCAAAGTCAGTAAAATGTTTGTCTTTAAATTAAGTTTGATTATGAGATAAGGCTGACCACGTCTTTCTGCATGAACATTAAATAAATGCTTAATTTCTTCGATGGTAAAAGTAGTTTGTAGCTCCTGTCATGTTTGTTTTCATCTTCAATATCTAGATTATATGTGAGACGACCTCCTCTGTGAGCACCAGCAGCAGATAACTTGTTTTTCTGAAGAAGTAGACAGTCTGTGGTGCCTGGCTGACCACTGCGATAGTGCTGCTAGTCCAGAAGAGGTCCTCAGAGATGTGGGTGAGCAGGGATGTAAACTTGGGGGCTCTTCACACGCTGTCCCTGCCGATAAGGAGAAGTCCCGTATCCTGAGAAAGGGCAAAGTAAAATGACAGAAAGAACAATAGGGTCAGGGAGGAAGCTAATCACATGGCTGAGTGATTGGAACACAGGAATAGGATAAATAGGAGAGAGGAAGAAGGAAGGAAAAAAGAAAGAGGGAAGGATTGTAAGATGGACAGAAATAAGAGGGTGCAACGGTAAGACGGAAGGAAACAGAGACAAAAGCAGGATGTGCAAATGACAGTTGGTTCAGAAAACAGCAAAGGAAAAGGGATAGCAGGAAGAAATAAAGACTGACTCACACATGGAGGTTTACATTAAAGTCTGTAGATTCTTAAAACAAGAGTAAAAGACAAATTGAGATAATTAAGGGAACTGAAAAAAAGTTTGACCAAAAACTCCAGCCCAAGAGCAGCAGCAGTAAAAACAAAGGTTACTTTAAAATCGAGTCAAATCAAATTTTATTTGTATATCCCATAATCACAAATCACAGTTTGTCAGCAGGCACAACACAGGACAGCAACAGGCAAAGAGATGAGGCAGGCCACTTGTGTCGATCCCTTTATATGAAGCTAATATTGGTGCAAAACAGTGTAATTTGCACTCGTAGAAGGAATTTGGGGAACACTTTATACTAGGGAACACACAAAGTGAACATATCCAAGCACTTGATTGTAATTCATGTACAACAACTTCCTTACTTACCATCAATAAGCAGTAATTAGTAGGTTATCAAGGGAAAACTGTTAATCAATGGAGTAGTTGCAGAATAAGGTCTTTAAGATTAAGGCATTAATAAGTAATTTATAATGACTAATAAAGAGCCAATATGCCTCTAATATCCATGTTAATAAGCAACTAGTTAATGGCTGATATGTGTTCCTTAATATAAAGCGTTGCCGGAATTTGTAGGAAAGTGTGTGTGTGTCAAATAGTCACTCAAGTGGATCAGTAAACTTGTAGATTGTTTTTTCTGCAACAGTTACACCTTTTAAAAATCTTCATTACAGCTGCACAGATCCTCCAGCTGCTGCAGCAAATATTGTGCAAAACACGTTCACACACCAGTGCAGAGAATGTCATTTTTGTCAATTCATAGAATTAGGGTAACGCTACTAACGTCCCTAACTTTGTGACTTTTCTCTCCCATGTTCTCTCTCTCTCTCTCTCTCATTCTGCAGGTATCTGACTGCAACTTTAACATTCTGAAGAGACCGTGATGGTTCCTTCATCTGAACCAGAGACGGTCAAGAACCTGTCCACTTCCTGTTAATAGCGCTGTACCAAATTGTCCCCAATCCACCTGGATCTTGTCCTCCATGAACTGGAGTGAACGAAACAGCTCAAAAAGTGATGGACACCTGCTTTTGTACAAATAGACCCACATTTTCATTTTCTTCATCATGCTTTTAACCTGCTATTTATATTCAGTTATAATTTTCTTATCATTGTTTTATCATAAATGTTTTATACCTGCTTTTCTACATTGACTGAAAAAATACACAACTCAAAGTGCATAAAAAAAGAAAACAGTGCTGAGTATGATCAAAAACCTGTTAGGCCCCTCTTCATTCTGGATTACCTCATGAGCGCCCCCTATACAACCTTGTAAGACTGTAGCTTCCCCCTGTACCAGAAGCTCTCTGCCTTGGTTGGCGTCTGTAGTAGATCCAACAAAACTCTGGTGAAGGTGAGCAGGGAAACATGGTGGTTTGGGTAAAAAAAACCATGTCACAAGTCTCTTTGGACTTTTTTCTGCACCAGACCACCATCTTTCCCTCACCTCAACCCAGAGCGTCTAAACATAACCTGTAATAACCTAATAATACAAGTGGATTTAGAATCCAGGATGAATCCATATGGAAAGAAGAACGTCTGTCCCTTCAGAACACGTCGCTACCTCCTCCGCAGCTTCCTCGTACCTCAACTCACAGTGAAAACTGATAACACGTCTTTGTCTTTGAAGAAGCTCCGGGCAGCGTATTGATAATGTCTGTCTGGGCTGGTGAGTGTAACTACTGTTTGGGTTGTGACCTCGTTGACTCCAACAAGTCTGCTCTCACATTCCTCACATTCCCCATAGACCCAGACCCATACTACCACCCCCCACTTTCCAGAGAGGTAGAGCTGGACACACACACACACACACATACACATAACCTGGGTGGTATAGAAGATGTTTTCAGCTCAGTTACTCTGTAAAGAACAGGTAACGTATTACGAAACCCGGCTGAAGCTGTAAACATGTTCGTCTGCAGCTTCACTGTTAAAGGGACAGTTTGTTGAGTTTCAAATACAAAAGACAAAATAAGACAAACATGCATACATCTGTAAAAACAGCTGAGGATATGTGCACAAGTTTTTTCAATTCTGATTAAAGTGACTCAGATTAAACACCAAAGGTATAAATACATCATGTTTTAGTATCTCAATGCAGCGGTTGCTTTATTGAGTAGCATGTCTACATATTTCTGTTCGAACCAAACCAAGCCCTGCAGAAAACTTACCGAGCCCGACCCAAACCCAACAGGCGCTCTGGTTTTTTGTCTTCAACGACGTTTTCCCCAATTGCAGGCACACGCAGCAAAAAACAAAAATCAAGCAGACAGCCCAGCGTTTTCATCCAGATTCTATTCACATGCTCTGAATAAATCAGATCTATTTATAGAGATTTAGACGGTGGCAGACTTGAGGCACTTGGGAACAACAGCCCGGCGCACTCTGTCCAGGTATGTTATCCCGCAGGGGCTGATCCTAGACGGGGCTCTCTTCATGAGAGCTAAGGTGTGACACAGACAGGTTTTTTGGAGACTTGTATAAAAGATAAAAAAGATAAAACATTTGGCTGGTTTGGGTGGGAGGGGTCACAATCGCAGCCATGTTTGTTGTTTCCGCTGGTCGTGAAGAGACACCACCTGGGCCCCAAAGTAACCACTGGGATGTTGCCGATAATTGGAGGTGTCATCGAAACACCTATGAAGCAGGGTGCCCACAACATGACCCCACCTCGAGTACCATCATAACCCCCTCCTAGAAACCCTCAGTTGACTTGATCATCCCCTCTATCATGTCATCTCAGGCAGAAGCATTTTTACAAGGGACTGTATCACCAGTGGGCCCCAAAACAGAACCTCTGCATTCATGTTAATGACTGTGAGTTCCAGATAACATGGCCGGCCATTTGGAAACATGAGCTCCACCAGTCCTGTGCAGCATCCTGACACTGTGCTTTGTTGATACAGACACACAGGCCACCCCTGCGGATCTCACCAGACAGAGATGTTGTTCAGTCCATTATCTACCGAGGCAGTCCACGTAGAAGAATGGTGGTAACCTGAAAGTCAAGTCATGTCTCCTGTATTCTCAGGGAGCAGAATTCGATATCCCAGGAGTGCACGTTCTCAAAGGTGGCAGGCAGGCAGGCAGTCGGTGAGGCCTTTAGCTTGAACGCCTTCGTCTGCTCCCATCTTCTTTCACGCTGCTCAAGGCGCTTGCTCAAGCTGACTGTAGGTACAGCTGAGGACACCACGGTGCAGCGGACGTAGCGACTGCAGCTCCTCCACGATCAGAAACATGGCTGTCACACAACAAGTCAGCAGACTTGGAGAAGCCTATTTTACAAGGTCCTACCATCATTGTATTCTATTCTATTTTTGCTTTATTATTTTACACAGTTCTATCTATTCTATACATTAAGTGGTGAAAAGTCGAGTCTCCAGTTTGGATCTGCCATCACAACATGCGTTTAAAACTTTTTTTGAAAGGTCCGTGTATTTAAAAGTTTGTTTGAAAGTTTAATTAAAATTGAAAAGTATGTAAAATACCTCTCGACGGCCTCTGCTGCCTCTTCTCTCAGATGTTTTAGCTCTAAAATACTTTTTATGAATTATTCTTATACCTAAAATTGGGATTGACACATCCTTTATTTTTAAAAGTTTCACTTATTAGATACAGTAGCCATAAGAGGTATTTTTGTCAATATGGCCCAAGGTCTTTAAAAGCTGCGGTTGTTTGATTAACAAGTTGCTGTTACAACAATGCATCAGATGAATATGAGCAAGAAGATATCGGAAGGTGTGTGTGTGTGTGTGTGTGTTGCTCAAAGAGATTTGGGTGGCCAGGAATGTGCAACAAGCCTTCAAGCTCTTGTGGACAATTGGTTGTCCTCCGTGTGCCGCTCAGTGGAACAGAGCAGACGTCTCTGCGGGCTAAACAAGGCCTCCTCCGTCTGACATGACCGTCGTCGGTTTCAGGATAAACCGTCAGAGCGACGC